TTCATAACAGTTTGAATCCCATTCTTCAGAAGCCTGAAGTGAGAGTAGATTGAACTTTTTAAGTTTTAGGGTCAAGTCATTAGATTTCAGACTTAAAGGAGCCATAAAAGGCAAATTGCACCATGAGCCAGAATTTGTAATTCTCTATTCACAAAAGTATCAACTTATTTATTTTGCCAACAAATACTTGAAACCAAATCTGGATCTCAAATACAAACACGTGATCATCTAAAAGGCAGAATTTGGCTACCCCATGTTTTATTTAACTGCCTTTTGCCTCCAGGCCATCAGTTAACTTTGAAGGTAGAACTGTTCTGCAAATGGAGCAGGTGACAGCATTTTTGTGTAGAGTAAGGCTATCAGCATGCTCTTTGGTGTCATATGCGGAGGTGCACACAGCTTCAAACGTCACTCAGAGACGCTTAGTTACCTTGATGTTAAAGAAAAAGCAGCACTCTGGTTCTTAATCTGTGCACACACACACATATTGCAGGCATAAAACAGATACCTCGGAATCTAAGGAGGAGAAAGAAGACAGGGTAATCTGTCTGGCTAGCGTCAGAGCTTCTATCCTCATTGCAGCAAACTCTAACTCCTCCTGTCAGATGGTTTTACGTAATCCACAGGAAAAAAAATGTATTAAAGAACATGATGTAAATGTTTCACACACTCAGAGAATGAATGTTTAATGCATCATGATAATTTTTGGATAACACACATTCAGTGTTCCTTTCATGATGAAAACATCAGCAGAACACAAAGGCAAGTTTTCAGATAGTTGTGAGACAGTTATATCTAGAAACTTTTTCAGAAGAAAATAATTGTTAATTTTTTGGGTGGGATATCAGTTTTCAGATATTTGTTTGATACATTAATTGTTTTTCCATTTCATTATTGACTGTATGTTGATTTATGATTGCCATCATTTTTGATTCAGCATTACTCCACAAGGGAAGTGAGATCAAATTACAGCTTAGACACAATTAGAAAAACAGTAGGTAACTCTCATTTTCACTTGGTTTGGTACCAATGTAACTCCACCGACATTCATGGGATTACTCCAGATTTACCTTGGTGGAACTGAGAGAAGAATTGGGCCCTACATCTCTGAAACTATTTCTGTGCTTACTGGTCTACCAAAGTAAAGCGTATTCAGTCAAGTTAACTCTCTATATTTAATATGTGCACATAGTTAATGAGATCATCCACATGAGACTGTTAGGCAGTATTCAAACACTAAGAAACTAACTTATTTGTTATAAGAGTTAAATTCAAATCTCACTATTTCTGAAAGGTTTCTCAAAGGCAAAAGGAACTTTGAAGAGGGCCCAATTTTTTTTAACTTTTTTTAAGAGCGGGAAATGTGTTTTCTACTGGTGTTTAGACAAACTGAAGAAAGGAACACTGGTATTTACATTTCTGCTACAAACCTGAAGTTTCTGAGCAAATACTGGGGGGTTCTTTTCTGCTAAGTCAGGTTCTAGATATTCAAGTTGACCACATATGGATGTCTGATGAGATATCCTATTGAGAAGAGCCTCAGCAGAGATAAAGGAGTCCACAGGAGTTGTCTGAAGGGTAAGGAGGATATAGAACAAATAAAAGAAGCTGCCAAAAGTGGCTCAGGCTGAAAATCATGTATCTGCTTCAAACATTTGTTTACTGCCTTCAGTAATATTTTCTTTCTGACACGCATACATACCCAATCAGAAATAAATGTAATGAGAGTCAGTTATAAATTAAAAAATTGAGAATGAAGAGTGAAATAAATGGTGTTAAAGCCCCTAAAGCAATGGTTCTCAAACTGTGGCCCAGGGTACTTTTAGGTACTTCTATGATAATTGTCAGTCAGGGTATGTCTACACTACAGTTTTGTCAGAAAAACGGCCATTTTTCTGACAAAACTTGAGGAATGTCCACATTGCAATTGCGTTCTTCCACAAGAAAAATGTAAGAACAGTGGGCAAAAAGGTGTGTGTAGATGGGGAAGAAGGAGTTTTTTTGGAAGAGGAGGAAAGAGGAAAAAGCACAGGTGCCCTGGTAGCCACTGCATCCATAGCAATCACAGCTTACACTCAGTCTGGACTCTCTCTTTCGAAAAAGCAGATCACTTTTTCAATGCACTTTTGCAGTGTGGATGCTCTTTCGGAAGATGTTTTTTTGGAAGATCTCTTCCGAAAAAAGCTTCTTCCGAAAGAAGTCTATAGTCTAGACATAGCCTCACTCTTCTGTCATACAGTCGCCATGTAAATTGTAGCTTTGTCCAGGATTCTCATAGAAGATTCAGAGGTTTCGTTGATCAACTGAATGAAAATGAATGCAGAACAACTTTTTGCACTGACTACAAAGTGTCTATTTGGTCCTCTGGTGTAAATTCAACTATGATCAATTTTTCAAGTGCCATCCAAATCAGTGAAGTATCAAACCCACAGGAGGTCAGAATCACAGTGTTCACCTGTTGAGATTCGCGCAACGGAAGCTCTCCTCAGTGAGCAGAGTCTTCAGGCTAATAAATGTGAATTGCTTTGCCAAGGATAGGAACTCAATGTACCGAGATGTAACTAACCAACTATGCCTGTTGAATTTGTAAAATGAGAGGATTTTAACTTTGTCTCTAAACTAACCAACTATGCCTGTTGAATTTGTAAAATGAAAGGATTTTAACTTTGTCTCTTTAACACTAGCGACGAGGAGTCCTGTGGAACCCTATAGACCAACTGAAGTGTAGGAGCATAAGCTTTCGTGGGCAAAGACCCACTTCGTCAGATGCATGCACTGTCACTTTTCCTCTAGTGACCAAGTGCTGCAGAGTAGGGACGTAATAGTATAGTCCCACGTTTCTCAAACTGTGGGTTCTGACCCTCCAGGGGGTCACGAGCAACTTCGAGGGGGATCGCGGTATCATAAAGTTTGAGAACTCCTGGTATAGTCGATTAACCGATAAACAAAAGCTTATAGGTTAATCCTATAGACTACTCACATTTCCCTTCCTCCCAGCCAGTACATTTTTTAGCAGGCTGGCCAGCAGCCTGGCTCACTGCTGACTTGTGATGGGGCTGGGACCTACCTCACTGCAGCTCTGCATTTAAAGTGTATTAGGCGCTGGGCAGACAGGCAGCTTGACTCAATCCTGGCTCGCACCAGGTCCGGGACCTACTCCTGGGTTAGCTCTACATTTGAAGTGTATTAGGAGTCACGTGGGCAGGCAGCCACGCTCATTTTCAGCTCATGCTGGGCCCTGGAGCTCAGACGTCCCCCAGACAGGGGCTACTGCCACCCCATGCTGCTGCCTCTTTATCAGAGGCAGCAGCACTGGGTGACAGGCAGCCAGTTCATAAGGGGAGCTTGGCTCCTCAGGAGTGAGGCTGGAGCACACTGGCTGCCAGCCCCGCCCACGGGGACTATAGAATAGTTGACTAACCAATAAGAATTAAAGAGGTTACTCAACTATTCAATTAACCGATATTTAACGTCTCTTCTGCAGAGCAGTTATAAAATCAAGGTTTGCTTAGGAATGCCAGGGGTCCTTGAGAGAATCTATCCAAAATATTCAAAAGTTTGAGAACCAGTGCTCTAAAGTCTAAAAGCAGCTACAGTTTGGAAGTAAGAATAAACTCTTCACGCTAAGTCCATTGAGAACAGGATTGGGTTCAAAAGTAAAAGTTTCTAACAAAGTCCCTTCACTATATAATATCAAAACAGTTGGCAAATTATCACAGAATGAGAAATCTCTGTTCATCATCCATTAATGCTGAAGAACTTCACAATATGTATGCTACTTTCACAAAGCAATTCTTCTTTATATATTCATACAACTGCTCCCTCCCCTGAGAAAATGTGGGCACAGCCTATATATCTATGTATCTACATGTGTCAGGTTAAAACATAACAAACCACTTCATAACAAGTAAGCTAATGAGAGTGTCTGCCTGTGAAATTGATCACAAAAAAATATTTGAGCCAAGATAAGAACTAGGAATGTAACATCCTGTTTAACCAGTTAACTGGTTAAACATTATGTTTAACTAGTAGTTAACTGCTTAAATGGAGCCAGGTGGGAGGCCAGCCAGGCTGAAGCAGCCCCTCCAATGCAAGCAGGGGCTTCTCTGCCCTGGCTGGAATGTCCCCCCACCCTTCTGGCCAGGCTGGGCACAAGTTAACTGATTAACATCTCTAATAAGATGATTAACCATTTAACCATTAACATCTCTAATAAGAACTAGGGGTGTAAAATTTTGATTAACTGGCTAATCGAACAGTCAGTGCAATTTGCATTGACTTTTCGATTAGTCAATATGGGCACCTCCACCTTTGAAGTGTATCAACAACCCCAGGGCTGTTGCTACACTTCAAAGATGAAAGCGCTGCGGGGAGCACGGGGCCAGTGGGGGAATCAAGCAGTCCCCCGCTGGCCCAGTGGTTCCCGCGGCATTTCAAAGTGGCAGCACCTCATGAAGCCCAGGGTCAGCCCTGGCCTCCATGCGGCACTACCACCTTGAAATTCAGCATCAGGCTCCATGTGGCGTTTCAAAGTGGCAGTGCTGCACGGAGCCCAAGGACAGTGGGAGAGTCACCAACTGATCCCAGGCTGCACACAGAACTGTCTTTTTGAAACACTGCAGGTAGCCCAGGGTATTTCAAAGTGGCAGACCCCGGGCTCCACGGCGCTCTGGGCTGCACATGGCATTTCAAAGTGGCAGCCCCTGGGCTCCACGGAGCTCTGGGCTGCACATGGCATTTCAAAGCGGCAGCACCGCGTGAAGCCCAGGGTCTGGCCCCGGGCTCCATGCAGCGCTGCCACCTTGAAGCACTCCTTCTTCTTTCCCCCCCACTTTGCTGCCTCTTTCTGATAGTTGACTAGTGTGTAGACTATCCGATAAGCGCTTGCTTATCAGATAGTCGACTAGTCGTTCACATCCCTAATAAGAACCAGGACAAACTTTCTCAATTTTAACAGTATTCTGTTAGACCAAAATGGGGATCAATTTCCCTCATTCATGCCCTATCAAATTCTGTTATTTCTAATGGAAATGAGTCACGATTTTCAACAAAAGACTAAAATCCACAGAATTATTTTTGGCTCCCTGTGTTTGAGCACACATTCTGCACTGAAACCTTCCTGATTAGTTTCATGCTCTGAAAGAGCAAATGCCCATTTTGCAAGCACAACATTGGAGGCACTTCTTAAAAGTAACCTTTCATTCATATGATTAATTGAAAAAGCACAAAGCCAAACAAACTAAATTTGTCAGCAAGTGACCTTGCTTTTTAGTTTGTTCTGTTTAAGTAGTTTCCAAGAATTCAGGGTTCACTTCATTCAGGGTTTTCATATTCTCACTCCAGAAATTTTAACTTAGCTCTAAACATGGTATAATTGCATACTCTGTATCTTCTCCTCTCTCACCACAGGGGAAGATGGCTTTTTTGGGAGAATATTTCCATCACACTTCTTATACATTACTTACTATTTCAGTGGCATCTGAAACTGTTCCTAAGCTCATGGGCTCGAGTTCTTTCTGTTTTGATTTGTCTGGTGTCTGTATGCGTGTCTCTTGGCTGGCAGTTAGAATTCGGGAAGCTGGGTGCTGCGTTTTCATTCCAGAGGATAGCTGGGCTTCAGTTTCATCAAAACTTGATCTGTGAGAAGACAGATAGCATACAGATTTTCAGGGTAGGCTAGGAGCCAAGTCTCTGCTAAAACCACAGCAAATGATCTTCAGTTAAACCATCACATTCTCATCTTTACAGGAGCTTGATACATAAGGATAATTGGCATTAGGCTGAATTATAGCAATGCATCTTGCAAAATTTTGAGAAATGTTTTCAGAGTAGTATCCAAAAGAAAACTGGGTAAACCCAGTACTACTGGAGATCAGTGAGTGCATGCACAACCTCCAAATTTCTTTTCCCTCATTTCTCACTTCTACATGAATCTATCAAATGACAATTTTGTTAAATAGCAACAAATGTTACTATATCATTTAAATTGAATTAATTGTTTAGGAAACTAAGTTTAGGGTTTTCAGGACATTTTCTATGTACTGAAATGAAACTGCTCTTTCTATTTAAGAAAAAACAAGGCGTAGTCAATCATAATCTAGACTGAAGACAGCCTACTCTTCATTGCAGATTTCAAAGTAATTGGTAAGACTGAAACAGAAATATATGTCCTGATTTTCCACTCCATTACACCATTGACTGGTGTAATAAGAGACAGCTGGACTTTACATGTTTAATTGATATAGAGCTCTGTTTCAGAAGAAAACAGACAAAAATTAAAGCACACAGCAAAATCACTGCCTAACTGGAAATAACTTTAGTGTTATCCTTTTCCTAAAAATCATTTCATTATTAAATGGGTTTTGTTTGTTTCATTTTTGTTTTTCTTTTTGCAGTGATGTACCCTGAACATGGAGTTGTAGAATCAGATAGTCTGACTGGAGGAGATTTGACTGGACTTCCCTGCTGTGCATCAAATACAAGGTACAAAGATTGTTTCTTCGGGATGCTATCATCTTGCTGTCAAAAGAAAAGGAAATAATTATCAACCAACTTTCCATTCTCCATTATGGTTAATTCATTACCTCAAGTGACCCATTGACAGAAATTCCACTTCTTTTTTTTGGAGCTGATAACATACACTGTACATGATTTGCAGCAAAACACTTCCTATGGTGCTGAAACCTAGTGGAACTATCATCAAAAGAACAGCCTATTTTAGAAAAGCCACTGTCCACAACACCAACTGTATAACTTCCAATTTTTATTAGTTCCTCCACTATCATTTGGGGTTAATTAGAATTCAGGTAAATCTAAAATCTGTACTTGCTCTTTCTGAATGGGTTATATGGCATTCACTTACAAAGTGTTGCCAAAAGTTAATTGGGACCTTCTTTATCATATCAGATAAAGATGTGATAAGAATCTCACATCAAGAATCTCCACAGTGACAAATTGTTTGGTTCTTAGAAGCATCTTAAGGAATTCAGACATTTGAAGCTTATTAATACAATCTAATTTATCAAGTGAATGCAAGTAAAGCCAAAATAAAAATGTTGAAGTTGAGTTCTCATATTTTATAGTAAGTGTGTTGAAGAGAAATGCTCCTCATTTCTTTTCACAAAAGCTTTAGGCCAAGTCTACACTAAAAGGGAAGGTCCAATCAAGATACGCAAATCCAGCTACATTAATTATATAGCTGTAGTCGACTTTTCTTGTTTTGAGTTTCACTAAACAGCAGGAGGTGTCAGCCTCTCTTACTCCTTGCAGAAACAGAAGTACCAGCTGCCAGCAGGGCACCCTCTGAGTTCATTTTAGCAAATGTTACCTAGACTCGTTAAGTCGATCTCCAGAAGATCAAGTGTGGCAGTGTCAATCTTCCATTTAGTGAAGACATGGCCTTGGAGAGTTAAAGATTTCCTGCCATTGGTTGGTTACCTAAAATACAGTGCTCTGTCCTAACTGTGGCTTGAAACACTGAATACCTTTACTCTCCAGAAAATTAAACTAAATCTTAACATTAAAAAGATGAAATAATCTATGTAACGATAGGGACAATAAAGCATGTACAATTTATCTGACTACACTGACTAAAAATACCTGTGTTTACAATCTACTGTAGATGTGCAGTTAATTCATGGTGTAGCAGAAAACTGTCCATACAGCATAATTATAGCACTACATAACGACTGGTGTAAATAGATGGAAATGGAAATTTACCTGCAAGGAGGAGCCTATTTTCTCCATATATTCTATTTCATATGAGTTGCCATATTCCAGCTCTGTAAGGGAAACAGAGAAATGTCCCCATACATAGGAGGAAAATACAATTTTTGCATGTGAAAATAAAATCTTGGAAGCTTGTTGCTAAGTGACACCAGGCCCTGCAGCTTTATTATTGTTGCTTTTTCTAACAGGCCCTACAAACAAAATACATAGAGACAAATGTGCAATAATTTTCTGCTGTCAATCAACTGCAGCGTCATAGCACATCCGAGGGCAGAATTTGGTGTGATTCATTATGAATTAATTTTTCTGTAAAACTCTAAGCTAATCTGTTTCCTTTGTTCAGGATTCTGTTACAGATTCCAGTAGCTTTACCAAAAACAGCAGAGTCTGGTTGACACTTCCATACATGATATCTGAAATGATGTGTCACATTACAAATCTCTGAAAATATACTAATGTAGTCTTGATAGCTATTTCCTCCGTTGAAAGAAGAAAGATTTTGTAAGATGACAAGTAATCAAATGATTATACTCATAGTAAAAAAACATGCAAATTTTAATCAGGATCTATTATCATTTTGTTATATGAGATTTTAAAAAAATGGATAAGGCATCCATATGCACATTTGGTGACAGATAGGACAGCAGCATATATACACTTATTTTCACATTTTAGTTATAAGGGACAGTTCAATGTATGAGTATCTACAGAGAAACCCTGCCCTAACCTTTAACAAAAATTTCTGTTGCCCTACAATTTCCCTTAATTATTCCATAAGAATTAACACGCGCTTCTTGCAAACCCTGGTCACTCGACATTGAACAGATATAACAAATACACAAAGAAACTGCTGACAGAATAGAAGATAAATGCAACATTTATAGGGTTTAAAGCCTGATCATGCAAATAACATGGAGTCCTTACATGAGCAGACTCATTTAAGGCAATAGGACAAAGCACTATTAAAAAAAAAAAAAAAAAAGAATGATAGGCACATCCTATGTATCTCAGATTTTGTATCTAAATCCGGTCACCTAACACAAGGGTGAATTTTTTTCCTGAAGATAAAAATTAAGGATTCCTGTTAAATAATATTCTTTTCAAAACTGTTTATTTTTATTCTGTTTTGTATTTTGCTACGTTTGTTTTATAAATCTTTCCTATAGGCCTAATTCACTGAATCACACGCTTATTTCCATTTCTGTATAAAAACAACTTGTGACTGGAATTTAAGCATGTGTTTAAATACACTTTCTGAACTGGGATGACATCCTGAATATGGGCCTATGTCAGGGAGATGTCTTAATCGTTTTGTAAAGTGAAAATCTCTGTGAAAACAACATTGGAGTATATATGTGCAGGTCTCTCTGGGTTTAAATAGCACGTTTATGAAAATTCACGGATTTCACAGGCCGCCCGTTTAAGAAAAATGGCTGCAAAATAGCACTAGGTGAAGTTTAGGATATTGTATCCATTAATCTTATTGCTGAAGGGAATCCTGCTATAGCAATGTTAGTACATTGGGACATTTAGTATCCCATGGTTTGTTTTTAATGGTAGCAGAAAATCAAACAGAAGGAAAAGCCTTCCATATGAAATATATGCTTTTTTCTAGCTATCAAAAATCCACACAAATAATGACATTTAGAGTAAAATGAAATATATATATATATAATTTAAAGATGACATTTAGGAGGAACTATTAACTACAAAGCAAAACAACATCAAATGCTTTGAAATATTTATCTCCATCTGCTAAATTTTATATATTACAGTGAAGTTTTACAAGCTAGTTCTTAAACTCTAGTAAACAATCTGTTACAAATGCTCTTTACAGCCAGGAAACACACTGTTAGCGTCCTCTGCTGCCACTGATAACAACTCTGCAGCTGCTTAATCCGCACTCTGGTAGTAATAATCCATAGAGCTTGATGTAGGGATGTAAAGGACTAGTCGACTCTCCAATAAGCAAATACTTATTGGATAGTTGACATGCTAGTCGACCAGTTGCTTCCCTCCTCCCCCTTGCTGCTTCTAACAGAAAGAGGCAGTAACGAGGGGGTGGGGAGCGAAGGGGGAGGGACAGGAGGAGAGGGGGAAAGGGGAAGTGGAGGAGGTACTTCAAAGTGGCAGCACAGCTTGAAGCTTGGGGTCAGATCCTGGGCTCCACACAGTGCTGCCACTTTGAAACACTATGTTCAGCCTGGGGCCAGGTGGAGTGTCTCCAAGCTGCATGCAGTATTTCAAAGTGGCAGCGCCGCGTGGATCCCAGGATCAGCTGGAGTTGCCAGCTGATCCTGGATTCCAGGCAGCACTTTCACCTTTGAAGTGTAGCAATAGGGCTGTTGCTACACTTCAAAGGCAGAATCGCCCTATCGACTAATCGATGCAAAAATGCATCGACTATTCGATTACTCCTTAGTTTGCTGTTTAGGTTGATGGACATTTCACCCGATTTGACATAAAAAGGCAGTTTGTGGCGTGAGGTATACCAATGAGAAAAGTAACAAATAATGTGGCTCATTAAAGATAATTCTTTTGTCTCACTGCTCTCCATGGTTTCAAACACATAATTATAGTGGATGGCAAGATAGAGGGCAACTCCAGGGTATTAACAAAGTGGTATGAATGAATTTGAATATGTATGCACAAAGATAGCTCTTGGTTACAGGAGGACAGTCACAATACTATGAAGAGAAGTAAGAAACATCTCTTGAATTACTCAGATTTCCCATAGCAGCAGGAACAGAACTGACAGTGGAAATCATGATTATTTTAAAAGGAGGAAGCACTGTTGGTTGTAATTAACATGTAATCTGAAACACTGAGCATACCACCTGGCACACTTCTGAAGCAGGAGGATTAGTTCACTTTCTGTTACCAGCCTGAGAGCTGAAATGATTGTTTTAGTTCATCCATACATTATGTTGTTAGTAAATCATTTTAGCTCACTTTTTCTTTAAAATCATACAATGCAGGCATAAATAGATGCACTTTTGTTATAATTTAACAACCACCAAAATGAGCGGATTATTCAGACTGAGCCAAACAGCCAACATAACCCATAAAAGCCCCAGTTCCTGGATATGCCTACATAGGTGCTTTTAGGTGTTCATGTGAACAGTCCCATTAAAGTCAGCAGAGTTACCCACATGCATCAAGCTAAACATATCTATAAACTGTTTGGAGGACTGAGCCTAAAAGCCCATTTGTGCAGTCTGTAATTTTACAAAACTCCTCAGATTTTGCCTTAAATTGTTTAATGATATTTTAACAGTACATTGAACAGGTGGGCAGAAATGACCAGACTATGATGATGGAAATACAAGATCAACAAGGATCATAAGATTTTGAAGTAGTAAGTCACCCAATCATAAACATGAAGTTGGAAATGGGTTAGTATTCATTTATGCATTCATTTATGAGATGTACCCTTAGGTAACAACCTGTAAACACTTATTCCTTTATATAGTCCCAGGGAAAGCAACATGACTACACATGTGAGAAATACTTAAGTGGGATATCTAGAGCCCAATTAAGTGCTATGTTAAGGAGGATCTTTATGTAACCAATAGACCGAAGGCTAGATCTGAAGCTGGGACCTTCAATACAGAAGTACAAATCTCTGTAACTTGAGTTAAAGAGCTAGAGGCCCAGCAAAATTAAAGGAAACCCTTCCACTGATTTCGGTAGATTTTGGGTTGGGTCCTAAATCCATTAGCTGGAAGGAAGAGCAGGCCACAGGCATAGCAGGGAACGTGTAACACAATTTGAACAATGGGTTATACTTACAATTAAGTGCAGCGAAAAAGAAAAAATAGTGATGTGTTGCTCTGGAGTGCTGCCCTATCCATCCTTTTGCAGTTTCCTCTTTTCTCTTTGTCTTATCTTTATAAAGAAAAAACTGACTGGAGCTGAATGGTCATTTATAAGCTTACCCTCTGTAGGGGAGTTGAACTTGGTCTCGTTTACAAATGTAGATAGATCGGATGGCTGTGGGTAATCCTGTTTATCTGAATCCAGAGCCACAGTCATGCAAGTCCATTTTTGACTGGTTACTGAAGAAGCCAGTTTTTCCTCATCTGTCGCATGAACTACAGTGGATATAACTGGGGGTGTTTCTGGAGTAGGCAGCGGAGTGGAGTCCTGCAGAAAATAAATGTTAACATATTAACTGAATCTACTACCTTTCAGCAGTAAGAAACATTTGTCTTAATTGTTTTGTTCATCTTTCTTTTGTCGTTTTAATGCCATGCTACCTACTACAGCTCCATATAAAATACTTGAGAAAACAGACCCAGCTCTTATATGTGGCATTTGGAATTACACTAGGAATAACATTTTTCTCAATAATTACATGCTCTTTATCTGTACAATGAAACCCTTTTATAATTATCATGATTATTGCAAAGCTGTGTAGAATTAAAATCCCGAGTGAAGTGTATTGAATTGTGCTAACTGCGATCCAGTTCTGTTGGCGGGTTGGGGGAGGGAAAGGGAGGGAGAGAGGGAAGACTTCTGCACTCAGGGGATCCACAGGAAACTTTCTTTGATGTCTTTATTGAATACTGTTTTCATTCTACCTTTTCCTTGACATGATTTACGGTGCATGTGTAAGTTTCTAGATTCTGTTGATGCTGGTAAAAAAAGATGAGATGTTATTTGGAGCAGATGGTCATGCAGGTGAGTTCAGAAATTATTAGGAGTTATGGCAGAAATACTTGCAGGTAGAGATCATGGCATACATGGCACACAAAATGCAGTCTCCTAGGAATATGAGTGTGATAGTCAGGCCAACTGACTTTTAGGGCTTCTCTGCATGGCGAGTTAGTATACCGGAAGCTAGGGCAGTTTGTAGTGCAGTAGCTTCCATACTAAATATTTTGCGATGTGCTTTGAAGTACTGCTAGTTGAAACACTACACTCACAATGTAGATTAGCCCTGACCCTTCCCTTACGGTAATGATCTCACATAAAGGCCATGAATCCTTTCCCATTCACTACAAAGTCAGCCAGTTTAAAGAGAAAGTTAGGATACAGAATGTGGGAGGTGGGCTATGGTTTGAAAAGAAACACCCCATATTAAAGCAGTGAGCATAAACCCATTATCTCATATGTGGCATGGGCTTTATTATCTCTTCCCCCAAGAAAAGCCACCCACTAGTGTTTTAAGATGACAAATAAAAAATACTGTGTCTGTTCACATACTCTCTGCAGACTAAAACACTTGCATTATTTGTTCTTTTCTTTCATCATATCATTTTATCTGTGTACTTTATATTCTTCTGGGCTAATAGGTTAGCTGAATTCTTCTGAATACCAATATCCTAAATGTTCATTACTATACTTATATTTAGCTTAGAATTTCCCAAAGATTATTTTTGAACAGCCTAACTGGAATTCATAGGATAAATACAAGGGTTGATGTTATCTGAATACAATATGACCATATAGATCATTGTTGCACAAGTTACACCAGCTCTAACTGGCACTGTACAAAGTAATTTTAAGATTGGAGGACAAAAATTAATAAACTTTACCAATGCTTATAGCTATTCAAATGTAACAATGTTACATCAAATATACTTTCCTTCTATAAAGAAAACTAAAAATATATGTCAAAACAACATAGTACTTTACCTGAGAGGGTGCATCTGAGAGGGGAGATCTTTTTGGTGACTTTTTCACCCTAAATGTATCACTAAAAATAAAGTTAAAACTGTAAATATGGCATGCCAAAAAGAATTGTCATCATATAACACTTAGCAATACAGAGCTACAGAAAATATGACCTCTGCAAGCCCACCTGCTTTAAGACCCCCTCCATTACAAAGCAACACCACTGAAAAACATGCAAGTATTGCTTTATCATCATGCACTTTGGTACAGGACTTGATTCCCCAAACCAGTAAGATAAACTAAATAAGGGAGTTGTACAGCAGGATTGCCATATGTCTAAATCCATTCAAAAAGTCTACTGAAGCTGAAAATTGATAGGGAATGAGGATTATCCAAGGATTAGGGCACTAGGATAGGACTTGTTTCAAAAGCCTCATCCCCATGTCAGAGTTTCCTCTGTGACCTTGAGAAAGTCACCAAGCCTTTTTGTGTCTCAGTTCCCCTTCTGTAAAATGGGGATAATATAGTACTTTCCTACATCACAGGGTTCTTGTAAGGATAAAAACATGAAGACTGTGAGGCATTCAGATACTAAATAAAATAGGTAAGAGATAAATTTCCTTGCCACATGGCAACAAGTTTTTGATGAATGGTATATGAAGGTTTGTGGCAGTATATATATTTTCATGGTATGTCAAGATGAATATATTTACTGACATAGCAATTCTGCTTCAGGCTCTTCTAAATCCCAGCACACGAACTGTCAATACAACAGTTTTGACCCTTCAAAGCATGGTGTATTCCAAGCAAACACATGGAAAAGAGAATGCCCACACATTTTCATATACAGACATGTAATGTACGCTGCCTGTATGTATGCATGTATGCATTTACCATTTACAAAAAGCAAAAAGTTCCCTAAAGACAACATTCCCAACAGAAGCGTGATCTATCAGTGCTCCAGATGCAAGCTGCCAGACCTGACCTAACTGGGTTTTGATATTAGGTGAAAAAGGCAGGGATAAAGTCTGCACAGTTTCAACTGAGTTACTCAAGAAAGTCTTAGTGGTTGCATTTTTATGCAGTGGTAAAAATTACAGCTCAGCTGTGAACAATGAGCAACAAAAGGAGATTATATCAAAGCATTTCAACTGATAGAGAAAAAGTCAAAACTACACCTATATGCAAACATGACTAAAAAATACCAAACAGCTGTTTGCTGGAAAAAAATATTCTCAATAGGGTGCTAATTACTAAGTGCAATAACACATAATAATTTAGGGCTATAAAGTGATTAAAAATTAATAATGATTAATGGCATTGTTAAATAATAATAATATAATACAATGTATTTAAATATTTTGGAAGTTTTCTACATTTTCAAATATATAGATTTAGATTATAAGACAGAATACAAATTGTACAGTGCTTCCTTTATATTTATTTTGGATTACAAATATTTACACTCTAAAAATAAAACCGTGTTTTTCAATTCCCCTAATACAAGTACTGTGGTGCAATCTCTTAATCTGAATCTAAACTTACAAATGTAGAATTATGTGCATAAAAATAACTGTATTCAAAACCAAAAAACAACATAAAACTTTAGAGCCTACCAAGTCCAGTCAGTCCTACTTCCTGTTCAGCCAACTGCTCAGACAAGTAAGTTTATTTACATTTGCAGGAGATAATGCTGCCTGCTTCTCTTTACAATGTCACCTGAAAGTGAGAACAGGCATTCACATGGCACTGTTGTAGCCGATGAAACAAGTTATTTACATGACAGATTTGCTAAGGATCTGTATGTCCCTTCATGTTTCAACCACACTTCCTGAGGACATGCATCCATGCTCACAATAGGTTCTGCTCAAAAATGGTCCAAAGCAGTGCGGACCAACACATATTCGTTTTCATCATCTGAGTCAGCGCCACCAGCAGAAGGTTGATTTTCTTTTCTGGTGGTTTAAGGTTCTGTAGCTTTCACATCACAATGTTGCTCTTTTAAGGCTTCTGAAAGAATGCTCTGCAACACCTCCAATATTACGTAAGGTATGTCAGATTCTTAAAATTTGGGTCAAGTGCTGTAGCTATCTTTAGAAATCTCACCTTCTTTGTGTTTTGTCAAAGCAGCAGTGAAAATGTCCTTAAAACTGAACATGTGCTGGCTCATCATCGAAAACTACTAAACCATGAAATGTATGGCAGAATTCAGGTAAAATAGAGCAGGAGACATAAAATTTTCCCCCAGGGAGTTCAGTTGCAAATTGAATTAACAATTTTTAATAAGTATCACCAGCACTGAAGTATATTCTTTGGAATAATGGCAGAAGCATGAAAGGGCATACAAATATTTATCTTATCCGGCATATACATTTTTTATTATACCAGCTACAAAAGTGTCATGTGAACACCTGTTTCACTTTCAGGTGACATTGTAAATAAGAAACTGGCAGCATTATTGCCTGCAAATGTAAACAAACTTTGTTCCTTAAGTGATTTCCTGAACAAGAAGTAGAACTGAGTGGGCTTGTAAGCTCTAAAGATCTACATTATTTTATATTTGAGTGCAGTTATGTAACCAAAAAAATTTCTAAATTTGTACACTGCAATTTCACTATAAACAGACTGTATTACAGTACTTGTATGAGATGAATGGAAAAATACTATTTCTTGTATTTTTTTTTATAGTACAAGTGTTTGTAATAAAATATAAAGTGATCATCATATAGTTTGTATTCTGGGCTGTAATTTAAATCCATATATTTGAAAATGTAGACAAATGTCTAAAATATGTAATACATTTCAATTGATATACTATTTTAACTGTGTGATCAAACCCGCAGTAAATCATAATTAAACTTAATAAAAAATTTTTAGTCAGTCACATGAGTTAACTGATGTTAGCTATCGTGTAACTGAATAGTTGTGTAACTGCATCACATTTTAGCAGCTACATGACTATTCGATAGTCCTTGGGGGTGGGGTGGCAGCCGGTGCATTTCTGGTCACACTCTTGGGAGCTCCCTGCCACCCTGCACTGCTGACTCTCTATCAGAGGCAGCAGCACAGGGTGACAGGTGGGAGCCAATCTACAAGGGGAGCCACTTTAAAAACCAGCTTCCCGTGCAGACCAGCTCCTGCCTGCCACCTCATGCTGCTACCTCTGATACAGCGGCAGCAGTACGGGGTGGCAGCAGCCCGTGTGCGTGGGGTGCCTTAGCTCCCAACGAACAGAAGCTGCTCCATGAGATGCAGACCACCCTCCACAGAGCAGCTTCTATCTGAAGCAGGCCAAGGCTCACTGCGAACAGAGGCTACTCCGTGAGATGCCTGATAGAAGCAGCAGTTCTGGGGAGGTTGGGGGGAGGGGGGCGAGGCAGGTCCGTGGGTCCCCCCAAGCCCCGGCTCCTGACTGCCCCCCTGCCTCTGTGGGAGGCAGCAAGGGGGGGCAGGTGGGCCCGCATGTATTGGCTCCCACCTGCCTCCCTCACCCTCTGCGCTACTGCCTCTCTATCAGAGGCAGCAGTGCAGGGGTGAGGCGAAGCAGGTGAATCCAGTGCTCATGGGGAGCTGGCTTAAAAGCTGGGGCCCCACAGGACACCGTCTCCTGCCTCCCACTCCTTTGCTGCCTCTGATACAGAAGCAGCAAGCGACGGAGAGGGGAATGAATGTAGTTGACAGGATTAACCGATTAGCAGCCGAGAAGTTTAGGCTTATCAGTTATTTATGTAGTCGTCTACATGTTGACATCCCTATAATCAACAGCCCTACAATATTTTTTTTCCTTTAAAAAGCACTTACAAACATTAGATAGCATTTAAGAAAGAATGGCTGTACAGTGTTGTATAGTGCAATATTCTGTTAATCAAGATAAGAAGAAAGTCTTAATGCTTTAACTGAGGGCATCATATATATAATTTAAAAAGCAGTCCTTCTACATAAGCAAACCTGATACTGACATAATAGCTCATTCACGGCCACGCAATTCACTTACAAAATAACTTTTACATAAGCCAGTAAAATAAATATGTAAAGCTTCATGCCCAGTAATTCTTGATCATGCCACAAAATAAAAATGTTTAAAAAGCCCACAAACCATTAACAAAGTATGAGGCACTTTCACCATAATAAGCACATTAGATTAAATTTACTTACAACAGAGAACATACAGACATCACATCTTCTACCATCCTAAGACAAATAAAACAAAGAAAAGAGAGACAGACAGAAGGAACTGACAAAAAGGATAAATCTGCAGACACTCTGTTAATGTGTTAGAGCAAAATCATCATTCACTTTTGATACCCTAGAAAGTTTGCACAACCTTAAAACATTTTAATGGGAAGTGTCGGTAGGGAGGTGATAATTCCTAAATCAGTTTCTGTTTTTAAATTCAATGTAATAATTTTCAAACACGTTTTCACCTTATAAAATCCATTTTCAAAGCAGACACCTGCCAGTTTAATTGTTGTCAGTGCTTTACTCACTCTTGCCATTTCGAGGTAGCCATTTGCTTTCTTTTCAAGATAGAGCACTTGTTAATATACAGTATGTAAAAACGTTCCCAAGAAAATTAGTCATTAGCAATTAGGTTTAAAGAAACGGGAACACTGGACGCTTTTATGACTATTGATCTATCAGTAAAAGGCAACAGAGAAAGCTCCTGGTTCGGGTATTTTCAATTACTATAGATAGATAGATAGATAGATAGATAGATAGATAGATAGATAGATAGATAGATAGATAGATAGATAGATAGATAGATAGATAGATAGAATTTCTTTAAGTTCTCATATTTTTGGCTCTTAAATGAAATCACAGTATGAGTACTGGCAGTTCAAAGTGAATGCTCTGGTAACCAGGATAGTGCTATTTGAATACCCAGGGGTAAAAAAAGGTCTTAATTCACTTCCATGCTTGTCATCTTTAATGGCATATTTTAAAGCAGAATGATCTTGAAAGCTGGCACCTTCCATATCTAAACAATATCTCTTGAAACACTCTGGGTACTTCCCAACCATCGGTAGAGGGGAGAGCTGAAGTTTAACTTTAAACAGGTCACCTATTCTTTAATCATAGCTAAGCAAGCATTGAGGGAACACCTGCTTCTCTTTGTTCAGTATCATCTCAGCAAAATGATGGTCTCTGAACTGCAGTTAAATATTTAGACACATGACTGGAATGCAATCTGAGTGGAGCTGAAATCCATTCCAAAGTCTGTTCTTTTAACAGAGTGGTGAGTGAGTGTTTAGCATGTTTACTCTTTTACTCAAGGATGGCAACTCATTATTTGCAGTGCTACCTGTGTGCACTTTAAAATCAAAAGCACTGTAGTGTCAGTGATGCTTAAGCTAGTGGCTTACTCCTTGGTATTCTATAGCTCTAGCCTGGAAATAACCATGCTCCCCTCTACTCGAAAACACAACAAGAATACATTTTCAAAACGGTTTGTAGGGATTCTCCATGCAACTCTCAATGTTAACAAAGAGTCTTGGCTTTGAAAAACTATCCCTTAAAATACTAGTTTTTAAAAATAAATAAATAAAATCTTAGGATATTACAGTATCAGTTTAAACTGAAGTCAAGTGATTCCTGAAATGAAGATCTGCAAGCTAAGTCACTATTTAAGGTACTTCACTTTAAAAGCTTCTTGTCTTCTTCCAGGAACCCTGGAAACCCTGGAAGTATTTGTCATTGTGCTTCCTAAACAGTGGTTCTCCAGCAGTGGATCCCATTGAGTAACCTCATGCTACGTATTCAATAAATTGCTGGACTGAGACCTTGGACATTAAAATCCCCTTTACAATGATATTTAAATATTATACTTAGAGATGCATCTTGGGCGTAACTTTTTAGTTTGGCTATTTTTGTTTAAACTTGATAGATAAATTGTTGGGGAATCCTTTGGGTTTTAGGAATATTGAGGTACATATCATGGCTCAGTAGACTTTCTTAAAATTTCTCTGTCCCCAACTCTGTACTCCAGGCATTTCCCAAAGTTTAAAACACATCATCAGAAAATCTGGCATCTCCCTCAAAAAACTGACGGCATTCTGCCCAACAATATAATACCCTGTAACATTGACTCAGATATTTCCTCCCTCTCACCCTAAAAAAGCAAAACACTCCCAAACATATACAAACCTAAATATGGCAAATGGTTAGAGCTAGAAACCCAACTGGTGGTTGGAAATAAAAAGCACAATTGGATATTCTCTGTTCTTCATTTCATAGCATTGTGGAGTTTTACTTGCCTGTTTTACAATGTTTGCCTTATCTTTAGCTCTTTGATCTTTTGTTAGTTTTAGTCACAAATTTAAATCCTAAAGTGTAGTATGTTATCTTTAATTAGCAGATCCACTGTTAAGCTATAAAGGGACTTGCAGAGAGATCTTATTAGATATGGTCTCTGTTTACCTGAAATCTAAAATCTTGTGACTAAAATCTGTGGTAACTAATTGAAAGATAATTATGTCTGAGGGGATGAGACAGCATAAAGTGCACATCAGCAAGTTAACCACATGGGAATCAGTACAGCCCAACATGAAGTTTTATTAAACAACCAACCAACCCAGATATCCAACATGGCAGCTAGAACCATTTCTCCCACAATTTGGCCTATGGTGTAGAAATAGGAGATAAGGCTAGGGGGTTTTGATCATCTATGAATCCTTAAACTACATTTATAGGAAGCAATGTTTTCCAAGGTTTCAGCCTCACATTAAAAAATATTAAAAAACAGGAATTCAAATGATAGGTTGGACCTCCCTGGTAAGGATGTTAAGAGGCGGGTAACTGACTAATCGTGTAGTCAATACAATTTGTATCAACTACATAATTAGTTGATAAGGGAAGATGCTCTGTTCCAGCTCGGGTTCAGTCCAGTTGTGCAGTTTAAATATAAATATAATTTAAACAGTTGTGCAGTTTAAATATAGTAGGAGCCAGGTGGGCAGGCAGCCCGGCTCCTACTATATTTAAACTGAAGAGCTGCAGAAGGGGGTTAGTCCCATATCTGTGCAAGCTAGGACAGAGCTGGGAAGGACACTGCGCCTGTGCATTTTAGCTCTTCCTACATTTAAAATGCAGAGCCACGGCAGTCCCAGATCAGCGCAAACCAGAACTGCTCAATCCTAGCTCCGAGCTACACTGAGACCTAGAGCAGCCTCAGTCTGCAGCCAGCCCGGGCTGCTGTGGACAGGGGCCCGCTTGATAGAGGCAGCAGTAGGGGCAGGTGGCACCAGGGAGATGGTGCTGGGGAGAACTGGCTTTTAAACACCAGCTCCTATGGGGGGAAGGGGAAGCGAGTAGTTGAGTACTTGCTTAAGCTTAAGCTTGACTTAAGTCAAGCTTAAGCTTATCGGGTAGTCGAGTACTTGACTACTCGCTTACGTCCTTACTCCTTAGTCTGGCTCCCCTGGGACTTGACTAGTCCCAGATGAGGGATTTTGCCACACCAGGGGAGGTTATTTTTGGCCTCCTATTGCCAGACTTACCCCCTACTCTGTCCTCTACTCTGTGGACTTCCCTGCTCCCTCCCACAGCTCAGCTGAGCCATGGGCCAGCTCCTGGACCCCCTGCATCATGATGGGCTTCCGGCCCATCCACCCACCGCACTGCAAGAAATCTGATCCTGGAACATCCATGGTCCTGCCGGACCAGAGAGTTCTGGTGTGTAGAGGTGGAAGCAGTAGTAAAACTAAGACAGTTTTTGACTTCTCAAACACATACATAAAAAAAATACATAATGAAAAAATGGCCCCGCTGAAGCCAATGGGCACTGAAGTCAATGTGAGTTTTGCCACTTATTTCAGTGGGACCCGAATTTCATTCTCTACATCCTAATTCCACAAACACTAACTCACAGGAGTACTCTTCACTTATGTGAGTAGTCCCATTAGTTTCAATAGGTTTGTATGTGTAAGGCCTACTTGTGGAAGGAAGGGTTCACAGGATCAGCCTTGTATTAGCAACAGGCCAAAGAATTATTTTTTCCCATTGCTGAACTCACTGCACATCAATGAGTAACATAACAGAAAATCTGGCACAAATATTGGGGTACAGAATCCAGTTATTAATCCAGTGACCTAATCTGGGTTAGTTTCTATGGATTTTCACTACAAGTTATTTGGTGCTGGGTGCTTCATGACATTGATGATGAAGAGAAAAGCCTACGCTTACCAAGGTAAGCTATAAACATCAATCCACTTGGCCAGTAATACATTTATCAGCACAAAGTTTCCAACCTTACTGAAACCCATGAATCATAAAACAACAGTAATCAGAGTAGAGTGCAAGGAGGAACACTTCCTAATCCAGAAGCAACTCTACCCTTTAACTTACGTTTTCAGTGGTGTCTTCTTTTTTTTTGCGGGTTTATTTAGGTTGTCTCCTTCAGTTCCATTTGTTTCATTGCCATTGGCTGGTATCTCAAAGGAGGCTGGAGATTTGGAAGGTGAGCTGGTGATCTTTGAAGACGGCCTGAAAGAATCAATTGAATCCTCGCAGGTGTCTGGATCAAAACTGTAAGCTTCTTGTGGCAATTTGGGAGATTCTTGCATTTTTGTAGTGGAAGAGAATGGGTTAAAGTTGGGATCATCCCACTTGTCAATATCAAAAGTATAAGAACCTTTTGAAATCGGGATATCACTGGGCTCAGTGAGTGACTTGGTTGGTGTGGTAGGAGCATTATCAAGCTTTTCCACTGTCTTTTTAGTCTTTGGCCTCCTTAGTGGCATTTTGGCACCAGATTTTTTACCTGTCTTTTTGGGCGGGGCAGTGCTTTCTTGCAGGTCTTCTCTGCTGCCCCTTTCCTCAGAATAATCAAACTCTAGTCTCACAGCTAGACCTTTGACTGGAGGATCCTCTTGTCCTCCAGTGTCAGATGGAGTCACCTTCACAGCCTCTGGTGCCGTTGTAAGAGGTTGGGTTTTTTTACTGGCAGGGGGAGAATTTTGCACTTTGCTGCCTCCAGTACTAAATGTACTATTCCCTTCAAAGTTCTCTTGCTCAAAGGGATAGGAAGTTTCAGGCTCAGCAGGGACCTCCTGTTTCTCTGCAGAGATTTGGGAAGGTTCAGTACATTCAGATTTAATTGATTCAACTTTTACTTCAGACACCAGTTTTTCTTCACTCGGGACAAAAGCTTGTTGGGTAATGTCAGATGGTTCTTGTTGTGTTTCTTTCACTGGTGGAGAGTCTGCAGATTTTTTTGCAGATTGCTTCTAGCTAAAAAGGGGGGCCCTGCGAACAGGGGCTGCTGGACCGGGGGCAAGCCAGGACCGAGCAGTCCCGGCTTCCGCCAGTCCAGGACACTGCGCCTGTGCATTTTAGCTCTTCCTACATTTAAAATGCAGAGCCACGGCAGTCCCAGATCAGCGCAAACCAGAACTGCTCAATCCTAGCTCCGAGCTACCCCAACTGCAGCTCTGCATTTTAAATGTATTAAAAGCCCAGCAGCTCTTACTACATTTAAAATGGAGAGGCACAGCGGCCCTGGACTGGCAAGAGCTGGGACCGCTTGGTTCCAGGTAAGCGAGTAGTCAAGTACTCGACTACCCAATAAGTTTAAGCTTGACTTAAGTCAAGCTTAAACTTATTGGGTAGTCGAGTACTTGACTACTCGCTTACGTCCTTACTCCTTAGTCTGGCTCCCCTGGGACTTGACTAGTCCCAGATGAGGGATTTTGCCACACCAGGGGAGGTTATTTTTGGCCTCCTATTGCCAGACTTACCCCCTACTCTGTCCTCTACTCTGTGGACTTCCCTGCTCCCTCCCACAGCTCAGCTGAGCCATGGGCCAGCTCCTGGACCCCCTGCATCATGATGGGCTTCCGGCCCATCCACCCACCGCACTGCAAGAAATCTGATCCTGGAACATCCATGGTCCTGCCGGACCAGAGAGTTCTGGTGTGTAGAGGTGGAAGCAGTAGTAAAACTAAGACAGTTTTTGACTTCTCAAACACATACATAAAAAAAATACATAATGAAAAAATGGCCCCGCTGAAGCCAATGGGCACTGAAGTCAATGTGAGTTTTGCCACTTATTTCAGTGGGACCCGAATTTCATTCTCTACATCCTAATTCCACAAACACTAACTCACAGGAGTACTCTTCACTTATGTGAGTAGTCCCATTAGTTTCAATAGGTTTGTATGTGTAAGGCCTACTTGTGGAAGGAAGGGTTCACAGGATCAGCCTTGTATTAGCAACAGGCCAAAGAATTATTTTTTCCCATTGCTGAACTCACTGCACATCAATGAGTAACATAACAGAAAATCTGGCACAAATATTGGGGTACAGAATCCAGTTATTAATCCAGTGACCTAGTCTGGGTTAGTTTCTATGGATTTTCACTACAAGTTATTTGGTGCTGGGTGCTTCATGACATTGATGATGAAGAGAAAAGCCTACGCTTACCAAGGTAAGCTATAAACATCAATCCACTTGGCCAGTAATACATTTATCAGCACAAAGTTTCCAACCTTACTGAAACCCATGAATCATAAAACAACAGTAATCAGAGTAGAGTGCAAGGAGGAACACTTCCTAATCCAGAAGCAACTCTACCCTTTAACTTACGTTTTCAGTGGTGTCTTCTTTTTTTTTGCGGGTTTATTTAGGTTGTCTCCTTCAGTTCCATTTGTTTCATTGCCATTGGCTGGTATCTCAAAGGAGGCTGGAGATTTGGAAGGTGAGCTGGTGATCTTTGAAGACGGCCTGAAAGAATCAATTGAATCCTCGCAGGTGTCTGGATCAAAACTGTAAGCTTCTTGTGGCAATTTGGGAGATTCTTGCATTTTTGTAGTGGAAGAGAATGGGTTAAAGTTGGGATCATCCCACTTGTCAATATCAAAAGTATAAGAACCTTTTGAAATCGGGATATCACTGGGCTCAGTGAGTGACTTGGTTGGTGTGGTAGGAGCATTATCAAGCTTTTCCACTGTCTTTTTAGTCTTTGGCCTCCTTAGTGGCATTTTGGCACCAGATTTTTTACCTGTCTTTTTGGGCGGGGCAGTGCTTTCTTGCAGGTCTTCTCTGCTGCCCCTTTCCTCAGAATAATCAAACTCTAGTCTCACAGCTAGACCTTTGACTGGAGGATCCTCTTGTCCTCCAGTGTCAGATGGAGTCACCTTCACAGCCTCTGGTGCCGTTGTAAGAGGTTGGGTTTTTTTACTGGCAGGGGGAGAATTTTGCACTTTGCTGCCTCCAGTACTAAATGTACTATTCCCTTCAAAGTTCTCTTGCTCAAAGGGATAGGAAGTTTCAGGCTCAGCAGGGACCTCCTGTTTCTCTGCAGAGATTTGGGAAGGTTCAGTACATTCAGATTTAATTGATTCAACTTTTACTTCAGACACCAGTTTTTCTTCACTCGGGACAAAAGCTTGTTGGGTAATGTCAGATGGTTCTTGTTGTGTTTCTTTCACTGGTGGAGAGTCTGCAGATTTTTTTGCAGATTGCTTCTTCTTTAAGGAAGGTGGCCTGGGTTTCTTTGTTCGCTTAAGGGTACTAGAAGCACTACTTGACCCAGTATTGAACACATCTGCCGTTGGAACTACAGTCTCATTATTGCCAAGATAAGAAACTCCATCAAAATCACTAGCTTGCAAACTAAGGGACCGAGACAAAGTAGTTCTGGAAATTGGGACCGAATCTGTGGATTTCCTTCTAACATTCACTTTAGGGTCACAATTCGTAGCGTCTGGAGTGCTAGGTTCTACGTTACGGAAAGAATCTACCAATTCAATGTTATCAAAGTCTAAGTTGTAAGTCCCACTGCTGGCTATAGGCTTATCCTCATCAAAGACAGTAGAAAATGAATGGGAGGGAGGACGGAAAGGGCTTTCTTCAATTGATTCAACGTGCGATGCATCAATTATGGACACAGTATCGGAACAGGATCCTACGGGAACAAGGAGAAAAGTCAGTAAATGAAACACATCATTTCATGTGCCCCAGATACTTTTCTGTTTAAACTTTTAAGTATTTTTATTATATTTTATTTAGAAAATATACCAAAAATGCAACAAAACAAAATGCAAGTGATACAATTGGACTAAATCCTAAATGAAAGGACATGCGTACCTCAGGAGTATATTTAACATGACATAAATGCAGAAGGATGTTTGGACACTTCTTTTTTTCTTTTGTAGTCTGGTGACACTACATTATAATATGCATTTGTGAAAGTTTACATGGAGTATTTTTAGTGGTTATTTCACAGCTTGCTAGACAGATGGAACCTGAGTTAGCAGAATATGCTAAAATACCCTGCATACTGGGTAATCTTACTGCCAAATACTTGCTTACCCACAATTCCCATTAGGATAATGGTTTCATACCTTTCATTTACAGAAGTGTGTCAAAACATATTCTTTTACAGTAACTGGTATTGTAGTCCTCAAATTTGACTGAAACTTCAGTGATTTGCATATTTTTCTCAGTTTAATGTCCCCACATTCTAGCTTGCCCATCCTTGTATAACAAGAAAAGCCTGGAGGTGGGTTTTTTTCCCCCTCAAGGCTTATCAATACTACTTTTGTTTTAGCCAGGTTAGGGGGGAGAAGGAGGAGAAGAGTCAAAATTCAAAATTGATAACTCCATTTTCATATGTCTATACATATGAGTTATTGATAACCTCAAATTTAAAAGAAATCAAAATAAAATCAAGAAAGTTGTTAACAAAAAAGTTGACTATACAAACTTTTCTGGAATTTCACTTTTCTGTTTGAAACTGTCTCACTTTACTAAATTTGTTATTAATAGTGGAGAAAAACCCCATTTGGGACATTTAAAACTAAGCAGTTAAAGCAGAAACAATCATATTTTAGGACACAGACAGAAAAGGAAATGGTGACAGAGATGGCAGTCTCCTGCCATTAGATTTGTTACCAGGGTCGGGAGTACAGATGTTAGTAAGTAGTCGTTTATATGATTAACCAATAAGCCTGAGCTTATTGGTTAACTGTAATGATTTCATGTACCACCCCATTCCGCTGACTCTGTATCAGAGCCAGCAAGAGAGGGGCAGGCGGGAGCTGATGTTCGGGGGAGCCAGCTTGAAAGCCGGCTCGCCACAAGCACCGGCTACTGCAAAGCCACTTCTCTCCACCCCACACTGTTGCCTCCGATAGAGAGGCAGCAGCATGGGGGGAGACAGGCGGGAGACAGCACACATGAGAAGCCATTTTGCCACTTGTATCAATTCCCACAAAGCTGTTTGCCCCGCCCCTCGTGCTGCTGCCTCCCACTGCCCCTCCCCCTGTGCTGCTGCCTCTAATTGAGTGACAGCAGCATTGGGGGAGGAGGGTCAGGAGGGTGCTGGTATACGCAGGAAGCAGCTTTCAAGCCAGATCCCTGTGTGTATCAGCTCCTGCAGAGCCTCTTGCCTCCTGTGCTGAAGCCTCTCTATCACCTTATACACAATATACACACCACCCTACTGGATTGTGATGTTTGGATCCGTCAAATTTTAACCATTTTTTAACCAGAAAAAGCAGATTTCAGCAGGTCGATATTTACAAATTTGTCCACGCCTATTGAGCAAATAGATGCCCATTTGCCATTTTGTTGAAAGGCATTTTATGTAAAGTTTAATTTTTGCCTAGTTATAATTTTTCTGCATCTATTCTGGTCTCAATCAATAAAAGTTAGAAAATTAAAACACCTGAATTTGTGAAGAGGATAAGAAATAGTGATGTTCTTATTTTATCTTGGTTTATAAATTGCCTACAGAGTCCAAAAATGGGTATTTTTCCAGAGCTGGATCATTAGTGGGATACGTGAGAAATTTAGTTTCAAATGAACATTTGAAATCAAGGTTGCATATCACACAGTATAGTTATGTAATAGTATTAAACATACAAAATAGTGTATTATAAGGTTTTCACTGTGTTCTTAGTAACTTTTCACATGATTTGTATTTCTGTATACTGTATACTAAATTTTAGGTCTTGGTTTGACAAAGCCCTGGATGGGATGATTTAGCAGGAGGTTGAACTTAATCTCCTGAGGTTTCTTCCAACCCTATGATTCTATGAATACATTGTAACAGTTACATGGAATAGACTGTGTACTCTTCATCAATACTGACTTAACTCTTCCACAGATACTTTAAGGTTGCATACCATTCTTTAGAATCATTAATGAGTAACAAATGCATTTCCATTTTCTCTGTATGGATAGCAGCAAATTTGTAAGGTTCTTGATACAAAATTTGTATCCACAACCACATATGTAGCTGCAAAAATGAGCTGCAGATATAAAGCAGATACCCATGGATATAAAGTGGATATCTGCAGATTTGCAAGGCTGTACTTGCTATCTTCCAACTATCCTACTCTGCTTATGTTCAGAAAAGTGCTACCCACTGGCAGTGACCACAGGGAATTCACACTTGCTTTAAATACAAGAGCAAGTCATGTGGTCATCTGATTAAAACTATTGGTTTAGGGGAAAAAAACATTCCTTAAAAACCATACAGTTTATTTACAAGTGTGTTTTAAATTATGCTGCTACAAAGACTAATGGAAGGTTACAAAATAAACTCTCAAGATCTGAATAGATATTTGCTGGTTGCCATCTTCTCACTAATATCAGAATAAAATGCATTTATCAATGAACAGTAACCAATCAAATCAGATGTTTTGGGATTTCATTCAAAGAAAGCACTGCAATCTTTCAGGTTAAAAGGATTAAGGAATCATAGAATAGTACAGAATCTGGTGACAGTCATATTTCCTTTAAGATTGCTTAAGTACTCATACATCCTCCATCACCATAAGAAATTTGAGCAGTGTGATACACAATGAATCAGATATTACGATGTCTGACTAGCTGTTCATTTGTTTCAATCATTAAAAATGACAGAATGTTAAAAACAGTTTGTTACTCATACTACACAAGTAATTTCAAAAGTATAGCAACTATATATATATATTATACTTGTCACTGTCATTTAATTGCGATAAAGACTCATTAACAGAGCTAACTGGAAAATGGTAGAACTGTTTTCTATTGGGAAAAGCTGTTGCATAAAAATCAGACCAGAACCAAAATTTTGGAAATTGCATTTCTTTTTTCCTGCACAGTTCTGTCCATTAATACTTTGTGTTAAGGTAGCATGGATGAAAGAGAAATACAATCTATAATTATTACTATTGTTTAAATCCTTACAACTATATTTTACTACTAGATCCTGTGGATAGAAAGTATTTCCTCTTTGTTCAGGGGCAGTTATGTATCTGGGTAAGGAATTTTGCAAAATAGCAGATACTAATGCTAATCAGGTGACACTATTTTAAGAATGTGTCTTTTTTTCTTCTTACTCTAAAAGGGTTGTGTTAGGATTCCTTCTTACTGACTGTTTTTTAATTAGAGTTGCTGTTGCCAGCTGAGCTGGTGTTCCCTTTGACACTGATCAGTGTATTGCTAAGGAGACACCAGAAGTGTCACAAAACTCCAGTAGTAGACTAATCTCTACACATAACAGTAGAAGATAGCTAAATGCAATTAATAATAAATTACTGAATAGCTCCAATATGCTTGCATAGTCCAAATGTAGGTCAGTGGATTACAACAAGGAGTCTTCAGAAAACTATGTTAATAATCTGCTATATATTTGAGAGCATTTGTGTATCTGTTTGTTCAAGAATTCCTCCTAAAAGGTAAGAGCAAGGACTATCAAAATCAGTATGCAGTTCCCCCTTATAACAACTTAAAAACCAAGCTAAGGGTTTGGTTGTGCCAGGAAAAATGGGATGTGCCCAGAATGAATCATTGAATCATAGGGTTGGAAGTAAGGATGTTATATAGTGACTAATTGACAAATTGAATAGTCAATGCATTTTGCATCGACTATTTCATTAGTCGATAGGGTGATTTCGCCTATGAAGTGTAGCAACAGCCCTAGGTGAACGCTCCTGTGGAGCCTGGGTCAGCTGGGGACTCCAGCTGATCCTGGACTCCATATGGCGCTGCTGCTTTGAAACTCTGCAAAGAGTCCAAGGCCGGGGTCCCTGTGGGGTTTCAAATCAGCAGCGCCACATGGAGCCTGGACTGAGTGGGAGAGTCCTCAACTGATCCTGGGTTCCACATAGTGCTGCCACTTTGAAATGCCGCAGGGAGCCTGTCGTCAGGTTCTCTGTGGCATTTCCAAGTGGCAGAGCCACGTGGAGTCCAGGGCCTGGTCCCAGGCTTCAAGTGGCGCTGCCGCATTGAAGCGCTCCCTCTTCTCCTTCTCCTCCCCCCCCCACTTGCTGCCTCTTTCTGATAGGTCTGGGGTCCTCTCTCTGCAGGGTAGCCTCCCATCCCCAGCCCCATCTGAGCCTCCAAGGTGCCCTTCAGGAAAGGTAGAATAGGGGGAAGGCTGAACCTCCCCTGCCCCGATTCGTAAGGAGACATTGCTGACCAGAGCAAAACCAGGTAAATCTTTTAGGAATAAATACAACAACATAATTAACAAGTAGGGATTTCATTTTGCCAGGCATCAAAAGGACTGAGGCCTCATTGTGCTGGGTATTGTACAAACATATACGAACAGTTGATTTCTGCCCTAGAGGCTTACAATCTAAAAGACAGAAACAAATGATTGGTTGGGGATGGGGATATATAACAAAGCAAATTAAGACTGTGACTAGGGAGGAATGAGCTTTTAGTAGTTACATTTTTCCTTGTGATGGAGGTTCATTTCTTTAAGGATTAAATATTCTCCTGCAGACATGTATAGGTAACAGAGAACAACCCATTTAAGAAAGTTGCAATGCTTTCCAACAGTTTGAAATAAAATGATGTTGAAATTCCACTGACAGCTCCACATACAGGAATATCTGATTCCTTCCTCTTCCATGGCTTTCTCCCCACCCCCACCTCACCATGCTCCCAATCCATGCCTTTACTTATCCATGTAGTCTTGTGCTCTGCAGTGCACATTTGGGATTAGCACTGTCAATTTTTGTTATTGTTAGTTTGTGAATATATCTAAAACATGGGTTTTTGGTAGCAATTAATTATTACATTGCTGTAGGACTACATTATAGCAAAATGCGCTCAGTCTCTTCCAATGACAGAACCACAGCAGATGGAGACGTGAATTGTACTTTCTGTTGTGAGACAATACCGCTTTATTACTACAGAGCTTTTTAAGACTCTGATCTTTTGACATGAGCAGTGTATCAAAAGCGCAATGAATTTTGCCCTTTCACATCAAAATGATCTAAACAAAAGAGTACTACTGCTTGCAACATTTTATCACAAAGGCTGCAGTTTATTCATTGAAGAATACATTATGTAATGTACACATGATGCAGTTGTTAGAAGGCGAAATTTGTCCCTGTGCCGAGGGCCAACACAAGGTTTAATGTACTGCTTAAATCTCACTTTTGGCCCTATTTTGAGGACTTATGTGGTTAATAGATTTTGCGCTGGCCTGCTGCACAGGGGTGAAATTCACCTGCACACCAGTGGATGGACATGAGATACTAGGCTGTACTGAGTGGATAACTGATTACATGAAGCACAAAAGTGCAACTCAAGTGGGTTATGACGACTAGAGACAGAGTCCAAGAAGGCAATTCCAGTCTTTTATTCACTATGGGTACATCTACACTGCACGGCTATTTCGGGATACCAGAGGTATGCCAGAATATCTACCCTGTGTCTACATTAGCCGCAAGTTATTTCAAAATATTTTTCAAAATAACGGGTGCACTGTTTCACCATCCTGGTACACCTCATTGCACAAGGGAAATGGGATGGCTTGAAATAGCATGGTATTTCGAAATACGGTGCTGTGTCAATGCGCCAAATTTAAAAATAAGCTATTTCAAAATAGATTTGAAATAAGTTATGCAATTTGCATAGCGCAAATTGTGTATCTTATTTCGAGTTTAGGTTCCTGTGTAGACACACCCTATGGTATAGGGCCCAGCCTTCCATTCCTTATGCAAGAAAAGATCTTGGACCTGAATGAGAGTTTTGCCTGGGTAAGGCATGAACAGTCAGATCCACTATGTCAAACTCACATCTACAAACATATCAAAAGTATGAAGAATTTATGCTGATGTAAACCAAAGAAGAGCATCAAGTAATGGCTTAGAGCATCAGTTCTCAATCAAGGGTCCATAACTCATGGGGAAGGAGGGGTAGCGTGTGAGCCAGTTTCTGGAGAGGTCTATGAAGCATGGCCAGTGTTACATTGGCTGGGGCCCAGGACAGAAACTTCTGAGACCCAAGCCCTACTGCCCATCAACAGAAGCCATATACCCCACCACCTTGCAGGGCAGATGCAACAAATCCTCCTGGCTTGGTGCTGAAGGCAGGAGCCTCCCCCCACTCCCTACAGTTGAAGCCTAGTACACCCACCCAGCCACCATGCTGGGACCTAGAGTTTTTATGGGGTGGCCTCAAAAAGAAACAGTTTAGAAACCCTAGATGAGAGAGACAGAAATTCTGGCTTTTTGGAAATCACGCAATGGCCCACGGGCAAGGTACTGAACCGGGCCTTCAGGAGCATTTGGTTCTAGTCTCTACTTTCCCACAGGCTTCATTTGCACTCTCAAGCAAGTCCATTTGCCTCTCCGTGCCTCAGTTTCCCCTCCCTCCTTTTGTCTGCTTAAATCATAAGCTCTTTGGAGCAACAGGGACTGTTTCTGCTACATGTCTGTCGAGCCTAGCACAATGGGGAGCTGATCTCAGTTGAAGATTCTAGGCACCTTACCATTTTTCCCTTCCACATCCCTGCTTCCTTCCTTTTTCTTTCCATTTATATGGTTTCCCCCTCCCCCCCAAAAAAAAATTAAACCCAGGCCCTTGAAAAAACATGGAACTAACATGACATTTGTTGTGATCGCTTTGTGAGTTACATGCTTTCCCTCACCTCTTTGGGGCAGGATGGCGGTACAACTGTGTTTGCACAATGCTTAGTACAATGAAGCCCTGTTCTTGGCTTGCTCTTTACGCACGGCCACATTAAACAACAATAATAAATCTCCGGTTGTTCCAAAATACTGTAAATCTCATAAAGCCAGACAGTCTCATGGGGGTTATATTCCACTGTGGGCAGAAGTCTCACAAGAACAATTAATCTTTAATCCAAACCAGGTTTCTGAGCAGAGAGGCAACACGGCTGTGGAAACGCTGGCTAAATGGTGCCTTCTACAATGCTCTCACTGCTGGAATTGCCACAAGGCTAGGGGGACATGGTGGGAAATTTTCCCCAAAGTTTAGTTCAAACAAACCCTCCGAGTGAGAGCACCCACTAGTCCGACAACCACAGCAGCTACTCTAGCAATCTCCTCTCTTGGGCATCTCCCAGCTCAACTGCATGTGAATGGGGGATATACCACATGGCTCACTCTGCTAGCTGCTATAGCAGCACATTAGGGGGTAAGGAGAATAAGAGACGAGCCAAGCTAGCTGCTGCTGGTCTGAGTCGGAGTCCAGCAGCCGGCCCAGACTCAATCCGGCATCTGAAGAGCTGGTAGTGGGAAGGATCCTGGAACCCTGTTTCCCCACCCACGAGTTAGAGGAGACCCAATCTCCCACCCAACTCACATGCATATAGGGGAGACCTCCTTCACTCACAGAACTGTGTACCTAAAGGACTGATATCTAGCCTTAAGCTTTAACTCAGGGTGGGCAATAATTTTTGAAGGGGGGGGGGGCCACCTGGAAGGGACGGAGCTTCAGGCAGAAGGGGCGGGCCAGGAGACTTCCCATGCTCCCCTGCCCACAAACCCTGATTGGCTTGGGGGTGGGAGAGCACATGAAGTCTCTGCCCCCGCCCACACCTTGAAGAGGCATATGGCGCCTAAAGAGAACCACCTTTTTAAACAGCTGGTGGTTCCCTCTAGTTCTGTGCGCCCCTTGTGGGGCGAGGCAACTTTGTGTGCTCCCCCATTCCCAGGTCTCCATTGGCCTGGGGATGGGGGAGTGGCAGGGTTAGATTAAATGACTTGACAGGCCGGATCCGCGCCACAGGGGCAGTCTTGACCACCCGTGCTTTAACTACATTTTACTTTCATAACCTTTATTAAATTTGCTCTGGAGTTCAATAAATTAAAAATTCTCACCATGGCAGAAATGCACCCAAGAGAGTCTTTTCTTGTTTCACAGATCATATAACAGAAACAAAAGACAGAACTATGTAGCACTTTAAAGACTAACAAGATGGTTTATTAGGTGATGAGCTTTCGTGGGCCAGACCCACTTCCTCAGATCAATATGTGGAAGAAAATCGGCACAACCATATATACGAAAGCGATACAATCAAAAAAAAGTGAACGCATGTGAAATTGACAAATCAAATTTTAGAACAGAGTGGGGGTGAGGGGGAAAGGTAAATTTATGTGAGGTAGTGACATAGGGGTGATAATAGGGGAAGTTTTATTACCTCACAGAAATAATGAAATTACCTCATCACCTAATAAACCATCTCGTTAGGCTTTAAAGTGCTACATAGTTCTGTCTTTTGTTTCAGCTACACCAGAGTAACACGGCTGCATCTCTATCACTATTCTAAATCATATAACAGGCTTGATCCATCACTACTTCCTTCATAACACAATGGAGAATCAGGCCATATTTTTTAAAAACAAAGACGATGGTGCCAAAACATTAGTAAAGTTTTATCAGGAGACTGATGTGTTGATACTATTTTTAAAAAGTCTATGCTGATCACAGTGTTTAATAAGTACAGGCAGTCCCCGGGTTACATGGATCCGACTTACACTGGATCCCTACTTACAAACGGGGTGAGGCAACCTCGCACTAGCTGCTTCTCCCCAGCAGACCAGGGAGACGTGAAGCTAGCGCCCCCTCCCCCCCCCAGCAGATCAGGGAGATGCAGAGCGTCTTCTCAGCAGACACCTCAGCTTGAGAATAAAGGACTGAGGGAAGTGAGGTGTGGGAGAATAAAACTGAGCTCTGGAGAAATGTTTGGCTAGAGTTTCCCCTACAATATGTACCACTTCCGACTTACATACAAATTCAACTTAAGAACAAACCTACAGTCCCTATCTTGTACGTAACCCGGGGACTGCCTGTAACTGTCATTACTAAACTAGGGCACGTATGCTATTTTTTTCCTTCGCGCAAGGGAGCAGCATATAACAACTAATCTTCCCGACATCCTTTTATTAGTACCCTTTCTTTATGGGAGATTAACACCGATGTCCCATTGCAGCAATGGTGACCAACCTGTGCATCCTTTTATTAGTACCCTTTCTTTATGGGAGATTAACACCGATGCCCCATTGCAGCAATGGTGAGCAACCTGCAGCTCTTCAGGGTAGTAGGGGTGGCCTGAGAGAAAATTATGTTTACCGTTACCCATGCACAGAGTTGCCAGATTCTGCTGGTTTCCGTCATCCTAGTTTTTTTCCTACTGATTTTTCTAAAGTGACACACATGTAAAGCAAGGGCATGTGATGTGAAGTGTGTGCTAACTGCGCTCTCTCTGCATACAACCAAAGCACTACTATGGGTTCGATTGGCACCCAACCCCTCAATTCTAGGCGTGCAAGTGCTGGTAGCAAAACTACTTTACCCCAGGAGACTATTATAACACTCTTGTAGCCCATTGAGTTGAAGAAGGGCCACTCATGCAGCCCACTCATTAGCCTTACAGCCACGTCTTTCTGAGTGATCCAGCCCGCTCGCTATATATTCATTACCTGTGTCTTCCAAGGGAAGCTGTGTCCTTACTTCCTGTTCAGCTGAGTCTGCTGCTGCTGCTGCTGCTGCTGCTTCTACCACCACTGCTTCCAGTGGTATCTGAGATGGTGCAGGTGGAGCCTTTACAGGAGTTGTGGATTCTGGTGTCTCGAACGCTTCTTCAGAGTCTGAACTCCTGGGGTAAATACAAAACAAGTGTTTCTTTAACAACCTGGGCCAGTGAGCACACTGAGCATTCATGTGTGGAAGGGGCAAGTTGTACTTCGCAATGCAGGGTTTTGCCTTTGCATTTCTCAAAGGCAAGCCATGATGGATTAATTTCACACATGATTTCTAGAGCAAGAATAGCCTGCCTGCAGGTTTTCTCTGAAGAAATCTTTTTTGCGACATACGGTTTCTTTGTCACAAAGTGAACATGCACTAACAATGTAAAAGCTTCCCAAGAAGCCTGCTGCATGGTGTAAAGGAAACTCCAGTATGAAAGCCCAAAACAACGGAACCTTTTTTGAATTTCTGGAAACTTTCTTGTCACAAGCACAGACAAACGAACACAGAAAGACAAAAAGTCTTTCAGGAGAGTTTCATAGCTGTTTATTAAAGGCTACGTCTCTAAAATAATCAAGCCTCATACTGCTGTGTGTGTTCTGACAAGCTAGAGGACACACACTAAGGTAAATGATGGATAAGTCTCAACAGCAAGCCTCTGGCCAGCCCAACTCCTCAGAAATGTTATATTTCATCACGGCTGTATTTTTACATAGCATTTTCGGCAATGATGAGTGACAAGGCTGAAAAATACATTGACTCCTGTGTGCTTTCAGTGATATATTTCCACCACTGCATTGTCACATACACATATCAAAATAAAAAAATAAAAAATAGAAGGATCGCAATGGGTGCAAGCATATCAAGAAGACAACAATATGCACAAGAGAGACAACCAAATGCAATGCAAGCTTGAAAAGAAACAATTATACAAAAGGATGCACTGTTAGCCTAAAAATCAAATGAAGATGTTGCTCTACAGGGAATACCACTTTAGGAAACTGTCCTCCTAGATCTGAAAGCTATTCACTTGATTTACTTTGAAACAGAAAAGCAAACTATATTTTAACATTTTAAAAGCCATTTTTGTCTGCCAAGAATGAACTAACAATATTGTCTTGTTAATTACTTAGTAACTGTTTCCACTAATCAGATGCAGTTTTTTTTCTCACTGGATCTGTAATATAATGAATTGAATGGTGTGACAGTTTCCTGAAAAACAAGTCTGACTTGCCTATTTCCAGTGACTCTCTGCATGGCTAGGAGACTGTAGTCTCCACTGCTTCTCACAGCTGTCCACATCCAGCGCGCCCACTGCATTGGGGACAAAATGTGCCATGAAGTGAAAGCCATTTCATCCGTGGAAGCACTCTACAAGTCGTCCAGAAACAGTATGTAGAATTGAGGATTTCTCAGACTTCATAAAAGTTAAAAGAAAACACTGTACTGCCAAGTCATAAATTCTGTTTGGGTTCCCAAGGCTTTTAGATTATCTGAAGCAGCTCCGCGTCAGCTTAAGTACAAGTGGTGGATTTGCATTATGTGACATTTGCTTAAATCTCTCAGCATGAAGCTTGTGCGGGCTATAGCAGAAAAGATCCTGTTGTTCCTGACAGATCAAGTGATTAGACAGACCAGATTCTCTCCAGTTATCTGTGAAGAATTCCAATGAGAATTCAGTCTTCCTAGTTACATTGTTATAGCACAAGCATGTACTTGGACCCTACCATTAGCTTTGGAACTATCTGGTTACACTACATCACTGCAAAGCAGAAAGATTTCTGCTCAGAGTTACTCTGTTTGTTTTTTTTCCTGGTCAGGTCTATTGTACATAAGTGCCTGGGGAACTTCACAAAGATTAAAGTGTCTATCAGTAACGACTACTGCATCAACTTCCCCAAATGAATTCTTGGCTTCAGAGCTCAAACCATATTTATTCAGCATCCTATAGAGTTCAGCATGCTCAGGGGAAGAGGTGGATTGTAGTTTTTAAAATTATATTATTTCAATATTTTAAGATCAAGATTCATTACAAACAAGGAACTTCTGTAAATAAAAAGAAAGCCTTACTTATGAGCATCTAGCTGAACAAATACAGTCCTTTCCCTTTTCCTGACAATTTCAGGGAACCTTTAATTTCACTTATGTCTTTGAAACTATCTGGGAGAAAGCAATTTGGTTACTCTTTGATGTTTTTCTAACAGAGAAAATGTATTTTAACTAAATAAATAAATAAATAAATAAAATAATTACCATGTATATGAAAAGGACTGAAAACTAACACAAATCCATCATCATTTTACATAATTCCATCATGTTTTCTTCATAAAAGAAAGAATACATCTCCTTTCCTCCTTTTAAATATATAAATGTAGCGTGATATCATATTGATGCAAATATAGTGTAGTCCTAAAACTGTAATAGCTTAATATATGTGTAAAAAAGTGTTATAAATATATACAATATGCAGCATGAGTATTAATTGGGTATATACATATACTGTATGACTTATTTTATGAGAAAATATTTACTTTCACACCTATTCATAACTGTAATTTACATATAAAAACTGACTTAATGACACTTTCCAACTTCCATCGTGATCCTACCATGAGACAGCTGTTTGTTTTTCTTTGCAGATTAATTTATTCTGTTTCTTCCTTGGTGACGGGCACAACCTGAAAGGGCCAGCTGCTGGAAGTAGTCAGAGGAAACTCCCTGAGTTCAAATCAAGTCTACTGGATAAGAAAGAAGGGGGCCTTATAGCCTTCACTACTGGCTGGATTGATGGAGAAGTGACAGATCCAGCAGGACTCGATTTATTGTGTCTATTATAGATGCACTAAATCGACAGCTGATCACCCTCCTGCTGACTCCAGTACTCCACCAGAATGAGAAAAATAGGAGGAGTCGCTAGGAGAGTTTTTTCTGCCAACACAGCGTGATGTGAACCCCAAGGTAAGTAGATTTGAATTATGGCACTAATGTAACTCAAATTGAGTAGCTTAGATCCACCCGTCTCTGTAGTGTTGATCTGTCCTGTTTCTACTTTTTCTGTCAACAAAGATATCCTTACGTATATGAATTAGTGTTCTGCTGCCATCTTGAATCTGCAGACAGGAGGTGCTAGTGCCCATGCTGCAGCTCATAACTTTCCTAAGCAGTGGCAAACTAAAAATGAGAAAACAGATGCTGGGCTCTTAAATAGCTACTTCCTTCCAATAGCCAAAAGATCAAGGGGTCTTTATATTCTGATATAACTGATGGAGTCCAAGATAAGGTCCCCCAAATGACCCTTTGATAGAAATCCCAGCCCCCTTCCCAGGAATGGATTTCGAAGAAAGGATGCCATTAGGGGGTGCTCCTGGAATCGACAGGTTGGGTCCCCCTAATTTTTTCCTAATGACCTCTAGGTAATAAATGTAGTCCTCTGGCCTCTAGTTGCCTGGTAATTTTTCCAACTAGCATTTCTTCCTCCAACACCTTTATGCTTTTGAATAAGTAACAGTTCAGTACAGGCCGTCCCCGAGTTACGCGGATCTGACTTACGGCGGATCCGCAGTTACGAACGGGGTTTGCTGCCCGTCTCCCTGGTCTGCTGGAGACCAGACCAGGAAGACCAGGGAGACCAGACCAGGGAGACGGGGAGCAAAGCCGGGGAGCACGCGGGCAGCGGACAGCCCAGACGCCGTCTGTCCTGCTACCGGCGT